CACATCCAGTCAATCCATTGTGGTCTTGTGGGTCAGTTCTCTACATAGTGACCAGGAGGACCTGGGTTCAATTCCCTTGCCTGCCCATCTTTTTTTCGCAAACACCATTTGGCAATAAAGCTAAATATGACAACAAATTATTTAATTTGCATGATTACCCACATAGCTCAGTTGATTTGTACTATGTCAGCAATGTGAGCGATCGCTGGTTCGAATCCAGTATGTTTAGTTAGATTTTTGAATGCTAGTGAAGACAGTGTCCTATAAATAGGACTTAAATCCTAACTCCTGTGTGAAGACACTCGTGGTACAGTGGACAAGACAGTGCGCTGGGAACTCAAAGATCGCAAGTTCGAATCACGGATTGGACACTCCTACAAAAGACATGAAAGACGTTAAAATCATAAACAGCGGATTCAAAAACTCAAGTCAGGAAAACAGAACACAAGAATACTACCTCACATGGAAGCCAGTCGAAGTCGTCAAAGAACGAACACAGTCGAGGAACGAACACAGTTGACAGCAGTAGGTCACGTGCAACAACAGACACGAGGAGCATGGCTGCTCTCCAAATGGGTCCCTTCTTTAGTATTGACCCCCTAAGGATTGCTAATCCCCCTTTCTAACTCTTCCCCCAAAAATAATATATCGCCCCTTTTAAAATGTAATGACCCACAAATTAATGAATATTCATGAGCACAGAAACTGCTACGTCATGAATAAATTAGCATAATTTTAAAAAAATTTGCATAAAGTGTAGGTACTCCTTCTGGAGCTCTGCCACGTTTGATGCTGTAGGATATCCGCCATGTTCTCTTAGGTCAAATAGGTCAAATCGCTAATTAAACCAATCAAAAAGCTGGATGATGCCAACGTGTTCAAATTACCATAGCTTATTTAAATATGTTAATGTTATTGAACGCAATGCGGAAGAGATTGGTGTTGTAGTACGATATTTTGGCTTGGATTTTGATGCGAAAACGGCATGATTTTTTTTAAATAAAAAAATTAGTTGTTTTTAAAAAATAAACTGGTCATCTGAAGAATAATTTAACAATGTTCACAGTGATAACAGCTCATTCTCGAAAGGAAGCTTACCCGCTCACGCTAGTCACGATAAAAATCATACACGTGTACTCTTGAATAGACAGACGTCAATGACTACGGTAAAACTTACTCTATTTTAGCCGGCAGGATTGATTGAAATGTCCAAAAAATGACGCCAAAATACACCTTAAAAGTCCCATTTTATTTTCTTAAATCCCATTTTATTTTTTAATCCAAGGGCGAATTTACGGCAGAATTTGGTCCCTCAAATAAGGGACACGTGAGCTTTGATTCTAACCGGATACATTGCACTGGGTCGGGGAGATAGTTTGCTAAACTTCCATGTATCTTTTGTCCAATGGGTACCTGTACTTCGAACATTCGCAAGTTTTCCTAGGTAGTGCGAGACAGCTTTGTCTTTTGACCTATTAGTTTTGTGCTGACCTCTTCTCCGCGTCTTGATGTTTTGTTTTGCTTGTCATAATACTCACTGATTGATGACTTTGTTTAGATTTTGAGTTGAAATGCGATGATTAGTACTTGAGATACCCGTGGAAAAGCTGAAAATTAACTAATTATGCAAATTAGGTGATTAATATGCACAAATATTTATCGAAAACAATCAATCTCTGCATAGTCCTTGAGTATGTAAGTACCAAGTTTCATTGAAATGTAATGCTAACTACTTATATCAAATGCTGAAAATTAATTAATTATGCAAATTAGGTAATTAATATGTACTGATATTACCATAAAAACTATCAGGTCTGTGCAGTGTTGTATGACATCTATGTACCAAGTTTCATTGAAATGTGATGATTAGTACTTGAGATATCAGTGGAAAAACCGAAAATTGACTAATCATTATGCAAATTAGGTAATTAGTATCCACGGATTATTACCAAAAACTAATCAAAACCTAGCATTAGTTCAGAGCATCTATGTACCAAGTTTCATCAAAATCAAATGAGTGGTTGTTTAGATATCAGTGGAACAGTCACGGAACCACTAAAAAATAGCTAATTATCATGCAAATTAGGTAATTAATATGCACAGATTTTTACCAAAAATTAATCAAATCTGCGCATATGTTCAGAGCATCTATGTACCAAGTTTCATCAAAATCCAATGAGTGGTTCTTTAGATATCAGTGGAACAGTC